GTCAAATACGTGGGTTATTGGCAGGTTTCACTGTGAAGAATGTAATGGCAGTTATCATCGGAGGGAGTTTTATAGTGTTGGCACAAATGGGAGGATAGGGGGGGGGGGGGTGATTAGGTGTGATGGATTATAAGGTGTTAGGAAAAAAAGTGAGAGGAATTGCAATCATATCAAGTAACATTAAAAATTATGAGTATTACCAGGAAAGGGATAATTATAAACAATAAAAATGTGGTATAACACAAGGCAAAATCTTAAGATTCTGGGTATGAATAGTGAAAGCACAGGTGTGAATGACAGATGTCATGTAACAAAATTGCTAATAAATATAAATAATGATGAAAAGTAGCCACAGATAAGTTATGGCAATTTATAAGTTATTAAAGGCAATTACTATTAACACTAATATATTTATAAATGAAAATAATGCAAGACAACATTTATATGGCCAGAGAGGAGTGAACATTATTTTAGGTACAGCAGAGTAATCCTGACCAAACTGGGTTAATTAGAAAGCTACTCTTCAACTACACACAGAGGAAAGCAGTATATAATTCACATATGGTTGGGGAACATGTATAAAACATATAAAACATTAAAAAATCTAAGAAAACTCTCATTGGTCTCAGATATTAGAATGTTGAGTTGAGGCAGGTGGGTATAAGGTACACCAAGAGCATTTTACTCATTCCTATACCAAAGCAATTGGCATGTGTCCAGTCAGCCTACAACATAAACAATATAGACACAGACATATGGAACATATCTTCATGACTAGCACATGCCCATCGTACACATCAGAAGCTGGTGTGTTGACATTCTTCTGTTAAGTTTAATATTTATACAGCATTTGGCAAAAATTCTTTGATACAAAACAAGAAGTCAGGCATATCGTGTACTGTCCCTAAGAGCTCCTCACTCTTGTAATTATAACATAGTAATTACATAATCATTCCAGATAAGTCAAAAGTAGTAGCATATTTCTGTAATGAATTTGCACAGTACCATAAAATAGTACTATTTAGCATTAAGAAGAAATTCTATACATTGGAAAAAATATCCAGTTAAAAAAATCTAGTTTATGTACAAAACGTATATAAAACTTGACAAGCACTTCTTGAGGACTACAGAGTTATGTGATATTTAAAAAAAAATCTTTTCTCTAAAATTTATCCAGTGTATCTGCAACAGCTGGACGAGTTTTTTTATTGACCTCTAGTGCCAGCTTTAATACAAACCTACAACCACCTCACTGAGTACAGTAGTAATATGACTGACTAGCATGGAGTGATTCCCACAAAAATAAGATTAGATGCATCATTAAAGTTTAAAGGTCTGGATATACAATACCTTTATTCCCCTATATACTCTCAAAGCTATATATAAGCAGTACAGGGAATACAAAGTGAGATGGATGAAGGTGTAGGGCAAAAGTAAAACAACTGAGCCAAATTAACCTTAATAATGGTAAGGATTTATTAAGGGCATTAATGCAAATTACTGAAACTGAAGATGACAATTTAATATACAATCAGACAATTAAAAATACATTTTCCTTATGTATTAACATTTTTAAAATTTTGAATTTTTAAAAATGACATGTAATTTGCACTGATTGTAAAGAATTTTAAATTTCCTTAAATCTGAAAGAGATCTGTAGCCTTTGTAGCATTGCCAAACACCTAATATCAAACTGTGCAACCAACCCAAAAGTACTAATATAAAATTCGTGCTTGATTAAGCACAGTTGAAAAAAGGCAATGCAACATTGCTTCTTTGTTATTCCCTTATAGCTCACTAAACACTTGTCAACCACTCTATGGAAAGTAGGTCATTCATCCCTTTATTCTATTATCACTTACATGACATTAGACAATACCTATTTTTTACAGTATATTATATGCTATGATCACAATGAGAAGATAAATTGATTATTTAAACTAATACAATCTTCATGCTACTCTTGATACTTGTATTAACTACAGTATTTGAAGTGGTCTGTGTTCTGGGCACTTTACCTCAAAATGTTACTTTAGGTAGAACCACTTGTCAGTGCACACTTAAGACACACATGTGCACACTCGTGCACACACACACTTGCGCACACACACATTATGTACAATATATATGCACTTGCTGTGCCAATGCAGTGCTCAGTACTATGTCCAAAACTTGGAACCTGAGAAAATAATTAAGAGCAATGGTTGGATGCCATGAAGTGGAAAACAGTGAGGCAACAAGTATAGTTGGAACATAAATTCTGGAGCATAGTGTTTAAAATCTCCCAGTGACAATGGCAGCTGACTGACTGAGCAATTTATCTTGCTGTTGCTATCTAATACCACTGACAGTTAGAACATACATCACAGAAGGAATTCATCTTCCAAAAATACTCAGTATTAAAACATCAATAAGCATATATACGACATACTGAATAGAAAAATATATTTACAAAAATTAATAACAAATGTCACACTATAGTAGTGGCATACTCAAATGTATACAAACGCAAAATCTTGATGAATCACATTGCATCAAGAACAAATGTGGAATGGAACTGTTAAAGAATATTCACAACAGGGAAGCCAGTATTCATGCAAAGTATATACATAAATCATCTTTCATGCTTTTATCACATTTTCAAATTCCAATTAACAATGAACATATAGATATTTGACACTCTGTGAAAGACAGCGTGTGCAAGCTTGAGAGAAAGAACACTACTTTCCTTGTCCAGTAGTGAATATCCCATCTTGCTCATGAGCCTTCAACAAAGTTGGAGACTAAATTTTGTGTGCTAAGGTCAAGAGTAAATTAATTTAGCCCAAAACTGAGAAAAAAATGAAAAACACAATTTTTGAGATTCAAAATACTTTGTTCTGTTTTATGTCACTTTCACATAAATTCTATTTTGAAGCCAAACACACCAGTCCTCTATTGTGATGTTACTGCTTCTGTATTTTTCTGTCGCTACATTTTCATTTTTGTTCTTATATTACACTTTTAAAATCATTAAGGTTTTGGTTTTTCTTAGAAACTTTATTAGCTACCTCTCAAAACACTTGAAATATTACAAAATATTTTCAAGAAGGGCTACACTGAAGTCCAAATTGATAGGTGTTCTTGAAGAAAAATTGGATATACTGCACAACGGTATACACAGTATTGCTCATTTTCAATGTCAATACACACAAAAAAATTAATATCTGCACTAAATATTTTAATCTCTCCCAGATTCATTATTCGTTTAAGGATATCATTCATTAGTACTCAAGTATCAAAATATTTAATTTGCTATCCAGTAGTTGCACTGCATTTACAAGCATCTGCAGCAAACATTGTTGCACAATCACTGTTAGGAATTTAACAAGAATTACTGTATAGGAATATCTGTACACTATGTCGATATGACTTAGCAGCCTCAGTCTGAGATCAACTCAGTGGCTTTTCAGCAAAATATTCTCCTTAAGAACCATTTCACTGAAAAAATTATGCTGGCTACTTGAACAGTGCAAGACAAGCATCTGTAAATAACTAATCTTTTCATACATACGACTCGAATTATGAAAAATATATTTAAAGCAGCACACTATGAACCATTCATCTGAGTTTGTCCTGATGGCACCGAGCTAAGAGAATCTCTTCTAGATCCACATTCTTTTTCTGAACCATTGCCTGAATCAGACAAAAGATTCTCCGCCGAGCTGCTCGATACACCTCCGATGGACATTTGTTGAGGCACTGTGGAATGTGATCTGTCCAAGATAATTAATTATAATTTGAACAATGAAATGTAAAAAATATACAATGTTAAAATAATGATGTTTGAAACTGTGATGTAACTGACACAATATTAGATAACTTTATACAGTACATGTGTCTAAATATAAAATACAACACACACACACACACACACACACACAAAATGGGGATGGGACAATGCCAAAAATTTTACTGATACCGATACCCAATTTTCGTCTGATTCTTAAAATTATTAGGACAATATTCAATATATAAGAATATCCTTAATGCTTATATGTATTAAACAACTTGAGACGATAATGATACTGTTCATTACTTGACCTCCTGTGATAGTTTCTGGTTGTCAGAGCTACTACTTGATAGTATGTGTGTGTACTCACCTAGTTGTACTCACCTAGTTGAGGTTGCAGGGGTCGAGTCCGAGCTCCTGGCCCCACCTCTTCACTGATCGCTACTAGGTCACTCTCCTTGAACCTTGAGCTTTATCATACCTCTGCTTAAAGCTATGTATGGATTCTGCCTCCACTACATCGCTTCCCAAACTATTCCACTTACTGACTACTTTGTGGCTGAAGAAATACTTCGTAACATCCCTGTGATTCATCTGTGTCTTCAACTTCCAACTGTGTCCCCTTGTTACTGTGTCCAATCTATGGAACATCCTGTCTTTGTCCACCTTGTCAATTCCTCTCAGTGTGTGGTGTGTGTGTGTGTGTGCGTGTGTGCGGTGTGTGTGTGCGACTGTGTGTGGGGGTGGAGGTTTGTGTATATGTGTGGGTGTTTTGTATGTGGGGGATTGTGTGTGTGTGTGGGGGGGGGGGGGTACACCTCTCATCTGCTCCTATCGTGGCCACTGCGTTCCCTTTCCGGGAATAATACACGTCCACTTTCAGTATACTACACGAAAAATGACATAATATATATAGAGCGTTATTTTATGAAAATATTTTTTTACAGTACACCTTAACAGTGTGTGTGTGTGTGTGTGTGTGTGTGTGTGTGTGTGTGTGTGTGTGTGTGTGTGTGTGTGTGTTGTGTGTGTCGTGTGTGTGTGTGTGGTGTGTGTGTGTGTGTGTGTTCATGTGGGGTTCGAACAGTGGATTGGGTAAGT